CTGTCATGCGAGTTGGATAAACGCTCACTGGATGCACTTGAAGCTCACTGGTCTCATATTCACCAGACTTTACTAGCAGCAGGTAAATCCTCATGTGGCATGTCTAATCGCCAACATGGACATTGGGTCTCTTCACAGTCTCTGGAACTTATCGACGCTCGCCGGTATATTCCGCTGGAAGCGAACACAATGAAACTCGCAAAGAGCTCCGGGCAAAACTCCGTGCTAGCCTGAAGAGAGACGGCGAATCCTGGTGGTCTCATCGTGCAACAGAGATGGAAATGGCCGCTGCCCTTGGCAACCATCAAAAGGTATTGCGTCTGATATGTGAATCGGGAAGCAGGAGACCTGGTGCTAGTGAAAATATACAAGACGATAGTGGATAGCCTATCCACAACTTGTCAAAACGCTTGGAGCGTTGGGCTGAGCACTTTAAAAGACAATTTAATCAGCCGGAATTGTTAGATTTCTCGCTGGCCACTGATCGCCCCGCTCCCTGGGCTGTCCCTTTTGGATCCACTCTCTCGCTCAGACGTCGAACTGCTGAAATTAGATAAAGCCGCGGAACCAGGAGATCTTCTTCCAGCCCTCTTCAAATTAGGGGGACCTGCTCTCGTGGATGATTTACACGAGTTACTAGTCAAACTGTGGGAGCAGGAAACTGTTCCAACCAATTGGAGCCGCTCCGTCATAGTCCCAATTTTCAAGGGAGGCTCACGATCGGAATGCGGCGACCATAGAGGAATCAGTCTGATCTCCATCGCCTCTCAATTACTCGCCTCCATAATCCTTCACAGAATGACTAGCACTCGTGAAAGCCACATTCGTGAAGAGCAAGTCGGATTTGGTCGTGTTCGTGGCTACATCGACCACATCTTCACCTTGCGTCAGTTGTTGGAGCACCGTCACATATATTGGCGGCCCATCGTTGTCGTGTTCCTCGATATCAAACGTGCATTCGATTCGGTGGATAGACATGCACTTTGGGACAGTCTACTCAGGAAAGGTACCTGAGAAATATGTGAATATTATCCGAGCATTATACGTGCGTAGCTCAGGCAGAGTGACGGCTTACGGCAAACTGTTGTCGAAGTTTAATATCTCCAGCGGTGTGAGACAAGGATGCCCGCTATCACCTTTCCTCTTCAACTTCGCTGTTGACGAAGTCATGGAAATCGCGTTCACAGGACACGACTTTGAAGGTGTGGGTCTGCTCCCAGGAGAACGACTTTTTGACTTGGTATGATGACGATATTGCCCTCATCTGTGACAGCTCCCAGACGTGCCAATCTGTACTGGACAGATTAGCACTGGCTGTCCGTCACTTCGGGCTTTGCTTCGCACCCTCGAAGTGCAAAGCGTTCCTCCAAGATTGGTCTGGACCGCCTCCTTCGCTGACCCTTGGTGGGGATCAGCTAGAAGTCGTTCGGAAATGCAACTACCTGGGAAGTTGTATCAGCACCCGTGGGATTGAAGATGAGATGACGAACCGTATAGCAAAAGCTCGAGGCGCTTTTGCTAACCTTCGCCACCTATGGCGGCGGCGCGACATTACTCTTGCCCTGAAGGGTAGGGTATACAATGCAGCGGTACGTCCAACCCTACTGTACGGTTGTGAAATCTGGCCGCTTGAAACAGCGGACCTGAAGAGGCTAGTTACGTTCGACCACCGGTGCATTCACAATTTGGCTCACATCTGGTGGAAACACCGCGTGAGCAACGATCGTGTTCGACGCCTTGTTTATGGCACAGGAAAAGGAACTGAACCGCTCAGCACCATTATTTCACGCACCAGACTCCGATAGCTCGGCCACGTGTTACGCATGCCAACCCACCGCCTCCCGCGACGTGCATTGCTTGGGCGCCGGGGGTGTGGATGGAAGAAGAGGAGGTGGTCAAGCGATGACTTGGTCGAGAAGAATGAAGGCCCTCACTTCAGAGCTGGCCTCGGCTCCCTTGTTGGGTTCCGACAGACTATGAACATGTTTTGCACAGTAAATTTTCTTGCTGCATAGTAGCCGGCTGCTAGCTTACTGGAACGATGCCCTTCCGTTAGCGGTAGTAGCTCAGCTAGATTGCACCTGTTGCATTTTCCCCTATTTGCTGTTATGTATTGCGGCACAGTAGCTGAGGTGTTGCCCACCTCTAGCTAACGTGTTCATGAATGAATGAATGAAACTGCACTCAGTGATACTGACCGAATACTACATAGCCAATTGAAGTGGGTGCATACAGGATAAAAAGCTTGCGTGATCAGCGCAATTAGCAACCATCGTTATTACCCGTTTCCGCAGAACATCCTACTCACTTATCATATTTTGATGACGTGACACTATGATCCATCAAATGGCGTTCGAACAATAAAAAAGGCTAGAACCCTAGAGATTAAATTTAATTGTGAAATCCGTCTTAGTTCAGATCAGTCAACCGTGGTAGCTAGAACAAAGCCGTTTTCAGACGGATAGTGGTCATGAGTAAAGCTCGGAAAAAAGCGCATTGTTGACAATAGCCGCGAGATCCAGACCATCTACGACCAGCCATGGTAATCCAATAAGCTCGGTGGACAATGCTTGTGTATGTGCATGTGTGTGTGTGTGCGTGAAGGGCGTTAAGCGCGATGCGAAGCTCTGACACTCTACGTGATATGGACTAGAAATTAACCACTGTGAATGTGTTTACCATATTGTAAATTAACACGGAGCTCAGCGTACGGCGGTAGCACGAAGATAACGATCGCACACCCAAGTGAAAAGGTTCTAGATGGTGTTTGATATATGTATGTTTTTTTAAGGTATTCATCCAAGTAGTTCACAAGCTACATAGGACAGACCAATCCGCGAAAGCACCAGACGCGTTTCGCCCAATTAAGACTGGCCGGTGCTGTGCATTCCCTCGGTCCCCTAATGGGGACCGAACCTATGACCACTAGAGGCAGATGACAACTAGCCAGTAGCTTAAGCCACTGAGCTATGGGGGAGGTTGGATGAGCTACATAATTTGCAAGCTAATTAATTGAGTGCATCGCACAAGCTTCCAAGTCAGATAGTCGTCCACATACTTGGAAAAGCACTAGGCTGTAGTTTCAACCTATTGGGTATCATTAGAGGTGCGTATCTATCGAACCCATCATGATTCAAACCCATGACCACCAGCGGCTTGCATCGCCAATCAGTAGCGTATGCCACTGTGTCACGAAGGAGATCAGTGTATGGTCACAATTCACGAGCTAACTGCAACATAGCGCGTCGTATCCTCCATTGCAATGCAAGTTGCAGAGGACAGGGTAGGTCCCGAAAGACACGACGTTCACTGACAGCAGCTATGTACGAAATAACGTTTAGAAACTGTTAGGGAGGATATCAGAAAACTTTTGGATACAAATCGGTTTCTGTAGGTTTTTATTGTGAGAACGTTTTGCTATTGATGCAAGAGCTCTTGCATCAAGAGCGGAACGTCGCCACAATAAAAACATACAGAAACCGATTTGTATTCAAAAACCTTATGAAATCATGTTAGGGAGGATATTTTTTATGAAAATTAATCGAATGTTAATCACAACGTACTAATGAGGATACCCAAAGGATTTAAACCGCAATCTAGTGCTTTTCCGAGCATGTGGAGAACTATTGGTGCGATGAACTCTCGGTCAATTACATCGAGGAATCCACTACTCTGGAGTACATGTGTTCCAAAAATAAGCATGTGAGGTGATCGTATTTTAATAAAGCCGAGTGCTATGTGAAACACACACAGAGAGGGACTGTCAAAACAGGCTATGACCAGTTGCGAATGCTTGAGTATAACCAGAACATAAGGCGGATGCTACGGTTGATAATCGCCAGATGGCACTTCTTCAGTGTCCACTGAGTCAACCGCCCACGAGTCTCCGTGATCCAGCAAAGAAAGAGAAGAGGAAGTCATCGGACCCACGTGACAGAGAACGGTTGCGTCTAATTTGATTTAGACTACGGATCGTGACATCAACGTCCAAATGATTCAGCAAATAGGGATGCGGCAGCACGCTTACGGAAGCGCGAAACCCAGGCAGAGATGGCCGGTGGTCGAAGGCAGATGCGAGCGACCTTGCGGTATCTCCAGTCCGCGAGCGAATTGTAGTGGTTGTGTGGTGGCGAAGCATCAATACGACAGTACCGACGTACTGCGATGCACTATTTAGGGACAGCAAGGAAGCTACCGGCGGATTCGAATTCAGGTACCGCCGATAACTAGCATGAAGCGATTCCCATTGAAGTAAGCAGGCAAGAAAATGTGATCCGCGGTAAGCGATTTCAGGTAGGCCTACACAGTGCTTTATAGAAGGGCATCGAAAACATTTGCTGGAAAGATGGAACGAAAGTTGACAGCTGGTTAAGCAAGCAGCAAGTATGTGCTGCTACTGCGACAGCGAATGGTGAGTAAAAGGTATGAAGAAAGAGCACAATAGAAGAAAAAAGAGAGAAAGCGGGGAACCTTACCTTGTTCATATCCCAAATTATGCATATAATGCCGAAGTGTCCATTGCTCCACATTCAGAAGCAACGTATGGGATTCTGATCTAGTAGGAGATGGGGTAGACGTTGGTTGCTCGGGAGAATTGGTCGGCAGCTTCAGCTGGACAACTTCAGTCCACAAGTAATGTGGCCTATGAGTGCCAATTTCTTTGGAGGTCGCATTCACGGGGGCAGATATGTGGACCTGCAGCGCACAGATGGACAGGGAGTTACTTGTCTTCGATCGAACGAATAAGTGACAAAACATAAAACGAGAAACTTCCTCCAAATGTATGCTGTTGGTAGACTGACAGCGCATTCAAAACAACTAAGCTGGAGAATCAGTTTCGAAGATATTAATGAATAAGAAACGAAATTCAAGAAAGCGAGCAGTACATTATATCAAGCAAGTAAATAAACTAAAAACGGAAGGTCGGTAGCTTGTAAAAGCAACTAACTGCAATAAGAAAAAACAAGCTGAACTCACCTCAGCTGATCAACTGTGACCACACGCCGAAACCGGTTACCTAGGCTAACGTTACCAATTGCGATAGTAACAGCAATAATAGAAAAGATAGGTAGCAGTAATACGTCGGTAGCAGTAACGACTTATACCATTCAAGGCCCTAATATTTCATTGTTAAAGAACCAGATCAAACCGAAACAACATGGGACTGATTCTGAAGTAGGTCGCTCGAAGGAAACAGCAACAGAAGGTGCAGCGGCTTACGTGAGCTTGGAGTATTAAAGGAATCTTAAGTGGCATCTCAATAAGTTTCCCTTGTTTGTGGAGCTAGCTTCGAGTAACATCACTGGTTGTACCATTGTTTAAGTGTCAATAAACTATACCAACGTTTACTTGAATTTGTGGATAATAAAGTCCAAGAATCAGCAAGCACCGTGACCATTTGAATGCAGTTAGCACAGAAGCACAGGATGCAAGACACCCATGGCAATATAATTCGCAAAGATGCCCTATTTGTGAATTGTAAACGTGAGGTTCCTCTGTGGGTGACTCTTTGGTTCACTTGAACAGTATCAAGCAATGTCAAATTTCCATCGTTAGGGAAGTATGGCTCCAGGGAGCGAAGAGCGCTTAAATGAGAGGGCATAAAGTTAGACGATCTGTCGACTTTGCTCGGACACCATTTCACCCTCTGAAGCTTTCCCTGGACCCGTGCTTAAGGCGAGCTGTAATAGCACTCAGACGTTCCCAATAGCAACAACTTCCCCAATCACAAGAGACCTAGACATCCAGCAACGATCGGAAACAATCCAAGAGCTTCCAGTCAAGATGTTTCAAGTTGCAAGGCAATCGGAACTTAATACACATTATCGTTAGAGTAAACAGGGTCTAACGAATAGATCGGAACAACTTTGACAAAATTATCTGGGTGGAAGACTCCCAAATCTCTTGCTGAACCCGAATGACCAATAAGTATACTGAGTACCATGGCCTAACCAATGACATTTCGAGACGTCGAACGTTTCAAAATCATCTATGAAAAAAACAAGACAGAATGCCGAAAATATGTGCCCTGAGACAACTTTCGTTTGGTCACAAAAAACGTTCATGTGTAGTGTCTCTAAACTTCTCTTCGGGTGGTTTAGGCTGGTACTTTTGATAATTGTGGTCTGGCGGGTTGACAGGCATTGAATAGTTTACAAATTGTTAACAGGCCGCAACCGTTACTGATGTTGGAAGTTGGATTCCTGGTCAGTTCCCGAAAAATTAGAAAAAGTGTGTGGATAGATCATCCGTTTACATTGATAGGGTAGGTAATAAATATTTCCCTGATGTCGCCGTTCTAACAGCAAAGGTTGGGGGTTGGAGACAATGCTACCACAGGGATTACATCCGCAGGCATCGATGAAGTGGAAGACAATAAAGTAGCTGGATGAGTGTAGAGTGTAACAGAACAAGAAAACCAGTGACACCCGCGAAGCGCGGAGGTTGGATCTGGTGCTTCAGCAAAGTCGGGTTTGATTAAACGCAGACAAGAATTGGCAATAACCGTTTAGACTACATCAATATGAAATATCCATGAGTAGTATGTGTAACTTTAGACAAGGAGACATTAGGGTAGCCTCAAGTATTGCGAGAAAGCAAGGCAAGCATATGCGTTGGGATAATGGAAAAGAAGAGGTATATGAAAACTTCTTAACGTATAGTATGATCAATAAAAAACGGTGGCTAACCTCTGTTGCTTGCATCAAGGTGTCCGCGAGGCACGCATTCAAGAGGGGGCTCTCGGCTAATGAGAAGTGGTTACTCAACAAGACTGGCAAATCGTTGTTCGTGCGTCTGCGCTTGGGTTTCTGTGTGCTTTCATCCAGTACACCCAATGAGTTCTGCTCAGATGATTGCACACTCTCAAGTAATTTGTTGATTTGCTCTTGTAGACTAAGACGTAGCCCGCTGCGAAGACCACAACATACCATCGCTTTGGAACAATCGCAAGCATCCCGATAAAGGAACTGCTGGACCATCTTGAGAGCGGAAAGCGGTTGTTTTAAATGATTTCCCTGATCGATAAGGAGCCGCATGAGGAGACGACTGACTCGACAGGGACCAAGTTCATCTAAAGGACAGGTTGAAGAAGCCGTCACCACCGTTTGAAGTTGTAAGATGGAAAGAATAAGCGCCACTGCCTGTGAATACAAGCGCCTCCTTTCAAGAAGATCCACTCCAGTGTACAAAATACGAAGGGCTCGATAAGGTGCGGTGTATCGTCGGAGGAATGATGGAACATCATAGCGCCTGTATTTTGGACTAGCAACGGGTAAATGGAAACACAGCAAATTTGACGCTTTAATGACGTCAGACTCCAGAACGATGACGGAAGTACATGATGTGCAAAAACTAACTTGGTCACCAAATCCACAAGATGAGGTTTTAGTCGTTCCAGTTCAGCTGCAGCGGACACGTAATCTTTACTATTCAACATATAGTCCAGACGCAATTCTGTATCGAGCAATTCCAAATATCTACCTGGTGGTTTGGATCAGACTACTTTAGCTTACTCTTGCAGATCTTCTGAGGACCGATATATTTGTGTGCACCGATGAATTTCGTACGCAGGATAGATCAATTCTCCACGCCGCACGAGTAGCATATTGTAGCTAAAATGTGGAAGAACAAAAATCATCGCAAAATATAAGTAGTTCAACTTTTTATCTTTCGGCTATTTTAGATACGGTTCAGTAGATGTGGAGCCAGCACATTGTCTAGACTTGTTCATAACACTAATAGCGGTTTGGTAGTGATCCAGAGGACATATAGTCACGTCCAGAGACGTTCCTTAGGGCGAATTCTATCCACAAACAATAATCATTATCATCACGGAGGAGGATTAGTAGGGTGAGTTGAATGGCATAGGTAGAAATTCGTCACTTGGTGTGGGGGCTATCCTGTCCTCTGCACGGTAGTAACGTGTAAGTCAGTGGATAGTGAGCGGCGCTATAACACATCTAATAACTAATTCATGATGGTGGTTGCCGTCCCCCGTAGCTCAGTGGTCTCAACCACGGACTGGCAACAATCGAGTTGCGGGTACCAGTCCCACCAGGTTCCGATGGAATGTGCATTACTAACGATTCCAGAAAGGATGAAACGCAGATACAGTGCTTTCCCAGGCGTGTGACGGCTGTCTGAGTGAGTCTAGATGTGACGAATTTCTACCTATACCATTCAATTCCCCCTACCACTCCTCTGTAATCAGTACGCAGACCAAACTGCTTATAATACCATAGGTTAATTGGCGGCTTAAGTTTGGTAAGCTCGTCGCTTGGTGAGGAGGCTACCCTGTCCTCTGCACGGTAGTAACGTGTAAGTCAGTGGATAGTGAGCGGCGCTATAACACATCTAATAGCTAATTCACGATGGTCGTTGCCGTCCCCCGTAGCTCAGTGGTCTCAACCACGGACTGGCAACAATCGAGTTGCGGGTTCGAGCCCCACCAGGTTCCGATGGAATGCACACTACTAACGATTCCAGAAAAGATGAAACGCAGGTACAGTGCTTTTCCGGGCGTGTGACGGCTGTCTGAGTGAGTCTAGATGTGACGAATTTCTAACTAAGTCATTATCATCATTATACACATTAGAGGTGGAAAACACCTCGGCTATTGTGCCGCAATCCATACGAAAAGTGAAGAAAACAATCTCTGCGTTAAGAATTCGGATAAATTATTATTCGTCGGGCGATGAGCGTGCATGGAGCAACATGCCAAGTGACAGGAGTGGTCAACTGGACTGAGGCAAATGAACTAAATCTAAGGCGTTAGGCACTAAAGGCACGAAAATACGAAGCAAGTGGGCTGAACTGTGCGCCCGTAAACGCACCCAAATAATTGCTTGAATGCGGGACAAAGACGGAATTGCAACCCACAGAGATTAACCAGCGGCTGTAACAGTGGCACAGTAATGTGTAAAAACGGGCAAATACGCGTTGTGGTAGAAACAAAACAGTTGCCGTTAAAGAGCCGGTTCTCGTTACAGAAGCTGAGTCTGAAGTATAGACAAGATGATGTGATGCCATTGCCAGATGAAAGTGTGGACTAAATACAACGAGTAGTATGGAAAGAGCACCGCATCAACACGCACGGTCTGGTGTTGAATAGAGCGACTAATTAGTTGCCATACTTGTGGGTCGTTTGGTGTCAACAGCTAGATCACGTCGATGTTGGGACGTCAGTGACTCAAGAGACTCAGATGATTCGGAAAACGATGGTAAGCAGATGTGTTAAACCGCTGTTCAAAGTTAGGGTTACTGCGAAAAACTTGCTGTGTAAATGGGGATTGCAGCTAGCCATCTTAATCTGGGAAGCAATTCGCTTTGAAGTGAAACGCGGCAAAATCAGTCGCTTATGGAGAAAAAGTTGGGTTGACAGTCCATGCAACCTGCCTCAGCACTGCCAGCCGAGAGCAGCAATGTTTCACGGCCAAACAATGGTCGAAGAGTTGAAGGTGCGAGAGAAGCGGATCAAATGGGACAAGACTCACTGCCGCCGCATGGGCCTGTTGGCAAAGCCTTTAGCGCAGGAGGAAATCCCCCTCTGGGAAAGAAAAATGCAGACTCAGGGATACAGCTTCATCTTCGGCAATACTTTAAGTTAATTTAAGAACTACGCACTCATCACTGCTAAAGGAACCACCAAAATGGGGGAATTGGTGCACAACCTCCAGTCACGAATCAAGGGGCTATCAAGTGCTTAGTTGACCTGTAAACGCACATCACATTTTAAGCATGTTAAGCGAGTACGACCATTAATAGATGTGGAATATAAGCTGTTAAGACGGCTACTGTATGCTCGCCGTGTTCCGACTGAGAGCGAACACAAGACTCTCAAAGATATCAGGGTGAAACCGTGTTGGTCTGAAGTGAGATCGCGAAGCCTGGTGGTCTCATTAACCACAGTTACCAGCTTCTCCATCGGTCACTGATCGCGCTTCCACGTGCGCCGTCCCCTTGGATCTAAGCTCAAGCGCAGAATTCAAATGTGAGATCAGACTTTTGAAATTGAATAAAACTGTGAGAGCAGATGAACTTAGTCCAGCCCTCTCCGAATTCGCGGGGCCTGCTCTTATGGATCACCTTCCTAACTTACAAGGGAATCTATGGAAACAAATGACTGTCCCGACAGACAAGTTGCTCAGTTATAGTATCTATTTTCAAGGAACACTCCTGTTCGAAATGTGATAATTTGAGGAAAAACAGCATGATCTCAGTAGCCTCTAAGTTACTTGCCACTATCGTCCTTCATAGAGTGACTGGCACACGTGAAAGCCAGATGCGCGAGAAGCCGGGTCTCCTCCAAATCGAAGCTGCATCGACCACATCTTCACATTACGTCAATTTGTGATAAACCGCCATATTTATTAGTGACTTACCATGGACGTGAACCTCAACATCAAAGGTGAATTAGATTTCGTAGATTGATGTGCCTTATATGACTGATTGCTCATGAAAGGTGTGCCCGCTAAATAAGTAAATGTCATAAGAGTGCTGTAAGCATACAGTTCTGGACGGGTGAGGGTTTATGGCAAACTGTCGCGGCCCTTCAATATCTCAAGCGTGTGAGACAAGAATGCCGGCCTTCGCTTTATCTCCGTAACTTCTTTATTGACGAAGTCATGGTAACGACGTTCGCAGGATAAGACCTACAATGTGTGAAGCTGCTTCCAAGTGAGCGACTTCTTGTTTCTGAGTATGCCGATGACATCGCCTTTATGTGACAGTTCTAGACAGCACCAGACAGATTAACACTGGCTGCCAGTCGTTTCGGACTACGGTTTGCACCGTCGAAACGCAAGGTACTCCAAGATTGATACCGACCCACACTGCGCTAAACATTGGTGGCGACCAGCTAGAATTCGTCTAGAAACTAAAGAATCTCGGCGGCTATATTAGCGCCCAGGAAATTGAACATGAGGTCACGAACCGCATAGCAAAAGCTCGAGGGGTTTTGGCCAATATCCGCCACTTGTGGCGCCGGTGTGACATCACTCTCGCTCAGAAGGGTAGAGTTTACAAGGCAGCTGTTCGTTCAACCCTCGTGTACGGTTGCGAAACCTAGCCCATCAAGTCGACAGGCTTAAAGAGGTTTGTTACGTTCGACTATTGCTGCCTTCGCAGCTTAGCTCATGTCCGGTAGAAACATAGCGTGAGCAATGAGCGTGTTCAATGTCACGTATTTGGTGCAGGAAAAACAAGTGAACCGCTCAGACCGCGATGGCTGGGTCACGTGTTGTGATGCCAACACACCGACTCCCGCATCGTGCGGTATTCGCGCCTCTATGGTGTCAATGGAAGGAGAGGAGGCCAAGTAATGACGTAGTCAAGAGGAATGAAGTTCCTCATTTCGAAGTCGACGTCGGTTGGTGCATCCCGACTGTCAGGCTGGGGTCCTAAGGACGATGAAGATGTTTGGTTGGACACACTAGTTGACATGGCGAAGAGCCATCCCCAAAGGTGTTTGTGTTGTGAGTTTCTTTGTCCCTCCCCATCCCGCTCATCCTCTTCCTACAAGCATGATCTATCCCCAGACGCCTATAATGTTGACAGTTATTTGATACTCTATGGTGTCCGGGAGCTTGCTTTTTCGTACATTTTATTTTTCTACATTGTGACACATTAGCTGAGATGTTTCTCGCCCTCAGATAACGTGTATTGTTGATGGTGATGAGTCAGCCAATTTGACAGCGCACATCCGGAACCAGTGGATTAGAATAGCTTCCGACTGGCTCAGAGAAATACTCAAACCGATCAGACTGACATCACATCATCTCTACACAAACGCAGTGAGAAAGTACCGCCAGCATTAGAGGAATGGAACCGCAAGGTAATCAAAGAACTCGAATCTTGCAGGCGGGATCTCTGATAAACAGCAGATGTCGTTCGATAAGCAAGAAAGAAAGGCTTCAACAGTACACCGGTAGGCAGCACCGACGCTTTGCTGTCGCGCAACCATTACCGGTCCCACGTGGGCTAAGGATATTGCGAGGGTAGCCCAGCTTACGCGCAGACTCAAATCCGCGCTGTCAAATTACAAGAAAGCTTGTTGCCTTTAAGGCTACAGACCGGCCTGCAAATGGGGAGTGTGCGAACGTATTTGCATATATGTGAACGTATAGGCAAAAGGTCACTTGTGTTCGGGCAAATGCTACCTGTTTGGCAATCTGTAACAAAGTGCGCGCACTGTGAGGCATACCATTCTTAGGGAGGATCTAGGGCTCCAGTGAGAAGCAAATGAACTGATGTTGTCAGCTTGGTTGAACATGGGACTTGTCGACTGGACCGGAGCGACATCCTGGGATTGCGTGAGTTGAAACTAGAAGACCAAGAATTAGGTGACTGAAAGCAGGGGGATAAAAGTAAAGTTGGAATGGGACGATAAGGAAGAAAAAGCGCAAGAGGGAGTAAGAAGACAGGAAGATCTCAGCAGCATTCTCTTCCCTGCCCACCCGGCTCGATGCAACAGATAGGGTTCCATAGATTATCGTCTGCGATAGTCAGAGCATCAAGAAATTTTCTGAGGAAAGGTTCATTGCAATGCGTGGGCAGGATACTATCAGGCTGTGCAGGCCTAGGCAGGAGAACGATTAGGGTTCCCAACGTAAGCCACTGACTCAAAACACCTGACCGCAAGGCAGAGGGGTTTTGAGAATGAACTAAGGGTAGTCAGTTTTAAGGAGTAAAGAGCCACCCTTACTCCGATATCCAAACTGGAGAGCCAGAAGATTGAGTATGTCTGGCCACTAACTTGTGTGTGATGCTGAGAGTGCAAAATGAGACGCCCAGCATAGCACAATGTATCCTTGAGTCACGCGAATCATTGCACCTCGTTGCGATGCGCCCATCTCACTGCGATGCCAGCAGTCCACAAAAATCCGCCATTACCTTCAGTGTTATATTGGGTCCAGAATACGAAACGGGGCAATGTAAATCGATATAAATGTGGATTAGGATGAAGTTGGCATTATTATTTTAAAAAATGGAGGCTATCAGTTAGAAAAAGTTCAGAAGAGTGATAACCCGAGTAGGCATTTCGAAAGCCGCGAAATTATGAATATCTATTTTGTATGAAGATAATGTGCTACAGGCGAATGGTTTTGACTAATCCCAAAAAGATTGATATTAATGTAGCGAAAAAAACATAGATGAGATGGAAGACGTACAGCTCAGTCTTCAAATATGCTTCAACAGATTTCACACGCAGAGGACCAGATGAGGATGTGTCAGAGCCAATGGAAGCCAACCAAATGGTACCGGCCAACAGTCGCATGCGAGAAACTTTAGGAGACCAACATGTGCCTAGAATACGAGTAATCCTGCGAGAGAGGAAAGCAAAAGAGCACATCGGCAACATGAGTACCGTGAGAACATTAATGAAAATGATGCGAGGTCTAGTAGTTGGAGTAATCTGCAGGCACAATGTTACCCGAGTGAGCAGCGATAGAGCACCTGCTATTAGATGTGGTGCGTAATGAGAAAAACGGAAGAAAAAAAGGAGACAGGAAGCTGGAACGATGAACATACCACCAGTCAACCGTAAAACACCACCCAATCGCAAATAACTAATGATTTTAAACTGGTGGGCCAAGAAATCGGTCTGAGCAGATAAATAGCCCCGAAGATGTACGTTCAAGCAAGCCAGATAATGAAACGACGTGTGCGCAGTAAGCACTGAAGTGGATTCATCAGAGGCTGAGAGTTCGAGGGCACATAATCCTTCAGTCATTTGCGTCGATGTGATGTGTCAGTTAGCTTATTCGCACCCTCATGTATTTCACTGGAACGTAACATATCCCAATGCTGGAAAACAACATCTAGAAGCGAAAATTGTAATCATCTTCCCAACTGGCCGTTCATCTCGTATTTTACCGCTTTTCTTCACTATTTATAACAGACAACCATACTACTTGTATGTCGCACGTAGTTCAGCAAGAGACGATGCCCTTCAACAAGGTAAGCGCGTGAAAAAGGATTTCGTGCAAGGCCGCATGAGTACGCGCAGTGCCTGATCAGTTAAAGATACCACGAACGAGTATGGTTCAAGGCATCGTTTTGGTGCACTTACACAGCATCCGGTGGATCAAGTTGCTTTGGCTCAGGGCAACAAGTTACAAAAGTCAAAATTTGGGAAGAGATGAAAGAGTGGAAAGGCATTAGGTTGGATTATTCCCAACAAAGCATTCTACGACATTTGTTAGGATCATTTAACAGTGCGCGTGCCAGCACACCGACTCCCGCGACGTGCATTGTTTGCGCGTTGTGGGTGCGGTTGGAAGAGGAGGAGGGGAGGCCAAGTGATGACTTGGTCGAGAGAAATGAAAACCCTCACTTCGAAGTTGGCGTCGGTTGGTGCATCCCGACTGCCTGGCTGGGGTCCTAAGGACGGTGAACACGTTTGGTTGGACACACTTGCTGATATGGCTCGGAGCCGGCACCAATGGCGTTTGTGTTGTGATTTCCTTTGCCCATCCCCCTCCTGTTTAGTATCCCCCTCCAATCACGATCTCATCTGTTAGGCATAATATGATTCTCTTTTTACGGCAGCTAGCTGTTAGCTCTCCGGAACGATGTCCATCCGTTACTGGGGACTCAGCGGGCGTGCCACTGTTTTTCCTTTTCTTTTATTTTGTATTGCGGCACAATAGCTGAGGTGTATTCCACCTCCAGCTAACGTGTAATGATGATGATGATGATCATTTAACAGCAAACGTTGGAATCAGGAATCGAAATTCAACAGGGATAAACAAGAACAAAATACCCGGATCGAAAATCTAAGAGTCAAAAACAAGGGGTAAATGTAAACAGTAATGGATTCAAAGATACACAATCCGAATGTTAATATGGAGACGATCTGAGCCGGTTAGAAAATCAGATTATTTTTTTATCTCAACCGACGCACCCGTCAAAGAAAGAGTCATATGAGCGAGAAAATGACTGATTCGCCCCAAGTCACGTGGGGTAAAAACCTTGGAGTGCTATTCTGCTGGCTAGCTGCATCAGGATGGTCAGGTAGCTCATGATTCCACCTGGAACGTTGATGTATCAACGCAATGTCAAAAGAATATGGTACGAACTGGTGTCTAGCGCCTGACTCCGATGATTCGCCACCGACATTGACGAAGGGTGATGATGACCCATTGGTGACTGTTTTGCTGTTCTGCACGAAATCATTTGACACAAGGAAGAAATGCCCCATGACCGGTGATTAAAGGTCATCATCCCTATTTCTAGTAGTGATCAATGGACCTCCTGTGAAAATTATAAGAGTATCAGTCTCATCTCCAGTGTAACTCACCTGTGACACGCTGCAGTGACCCAATGATCCTCGAGAGTCGGATCTGTGAACTATTGGTTAGTTTCCACCCCGGCAAGTGATCATACATCAGCAAAAGTATAGGCTGATACGGTAAATTTTTTCCTGTACCACTTGTACCCATGTTTAACCATGAATGGCGTGGTAGCCGGATTGTTTCGATCCTAAAATTCAATTATTAAGACTGCCGGAAACATGCGCCTGCATACGAGAATTATCCCTTGAGAACACTAAGACAAGCGCAGTGCATCAAGGCTGTACAACTGTCGCTTGATCATTTGGCATCGATCGGAATGTTTACGAATGATTTTCTCCTGTCCATTTCTATTTTTCCTGGGATAGCGATTCGGCTGGATGGGCAGCTAGCAAACGCAGACGATTAGTTCTTTGGATCAGACTCGGCTGTCGAATACACCGGCGCGCACTTCTGCACACTTTAGCGCGTGATATGCAGTTTCAAAAATACTGCTACAATACTGAGCAGACCTGATACAAGGTTATCTTACCCAAACACCGAAGGAACCATGGCACATCTGACAGAGGACTGGTGGTTTTCCAAAACCTTCGCTGTACAGTGACGTGTATGTTGGCGAAGGGAGAAAGTCTACAACGCTGTGGTACGACCAGTATTACATTATGAACCAGCTATCTGGTCGCCACATGCTGAGGAGATTAAGAGACCGTGTTTGACCACTGACGCCTGGAAGGTGTTGCCCAAGTATGTTAAAGCACAGAATGAGTAAGGTTGAAGTTGACAAGGTTCATGGCGGCTAGACGCAAATAGCTACCACAAATCCAGAAAAGTATTAGACATCCGTCGCGTCGCTGCGACCGAACCAACTAAATGATGAGGATCAGTATAAAGTAGAATCTAATAGGATAATTCATCGTGGCTTGGCGATTCTGTTTAGTTCGAAGCACACGGGTGTCAAATCGCACGGTCATCGTTCACTAACACGGCATGTGCCAATCAGCTCCTAGCGTTTCGCATCAGGGTTTCATGACAATCGTCCAAATGAACAAATAGCGGAGATGCAATAAACGTGGCTGACGCAGAGCAGGCGAGGAAACAATGAAGAATTGTAGGGTATAACACCGAACGCTAAGCGACAGTATTTATTCGCTCAGTGATAATACTAGACACTAGTGATGTGTCGTGGAAATAATATCTAGGGAACATTGTTTCTTCAGTGCTTTTGTGCAGTAGGACTACCTCCGACACGAACTACAGTAGGGACTATTGCACACGATGAAGTAGGCAAACAGACTTATGTCCTTACATGAGTGGTAAATTAGTTAAGGGCTCCACAGAGTATTCTGAGATAGTCACACATTAGTCAGATGGTCTGTGCCAAGCGGATAACGATGACTGTTATGACTGACGAACTGGGTACATGATACGCAAGAGCGAGATAGCAAGTTCAGGTCCTTCATTAAGGCGAAGGAATGCGCACTGGCAATGAGCCCATGAAGGAAGAAAAAAGACGCTTAGATGTCTTTATAGAGGCTGTCGGCCGGTGGCCGAGTGGTCTGCGCGTTTGGTTTACAACCATAAGGTCACCGGTTTGAATCCGCGTAGGGGTGGGCGTCCTCGCGGTATACTCAGCCCGCGTGCGACTGGTGGTGGTCGCGCGGCAGCGAAGCGCCGTTACGGCGTACAGCTGACACATTATTACTTTATAGAGGCTTGGTGACTGACCAGCCGAGGCTATGTTTTTGATAAGATTCATCCCAGACAAACTCATTCAGGCAGCCAGTATATATGCATAAAAGCACTAGACGGTCGTTTCGCCCACTAAAATTTATTATTATCGCGCATCCGCTGCGTCCTGCTAGGTCCGAGTTCGTGACCCTACTCCTACGAGCCAGCAACGTAAGCCGTTTAGCCATGGGTGACGGAGGTGAACCAGTGACTAGCTACTAGCTGCGGCATAGCAGTGTTCGTCCCCACTACCATGCATCTTAAAAGCGTGCAGAAAACGGGATTGGTTCCCAGAGCTCCGACTTGTGCCCGGTAGTGGCATGTAGGCTGCGAAAGTAAGCACTGATTAGGAGTGGTGAGCATTGCTTTTTCACAGGATTTGCCGCAAGCAGACGGTACCACACAACAACCGAGCTAGTAATTCTCGAAGCGCAAACATTGCCTGGGCCTTTCTGTCTGCAGGTCTGCTGACCGGCTACTTTAATGTGCAACCCCTACCGGCACTATGGCAACGTGAGTAAAACCTTGAGAGTGATAGTAGACATAGCAAGAGCATGAATAATGACCGAAAAACCCAGTAGGGTTGGCGCTTGTTGTAATTCTGGGTGAAGTAGTCCCGATCCGCCGCAATGTTAGTGAAAGAGACCATTTGGGGACAACGCAGTTGCATCAGCGGCGTATTGCATTCGATCCCTCAACCAACACAACGACCCATTTAAAAATTATAGTTTTAGCTTTTTTAGAGTATAATTTTTTATTAGTACCAGTGCTACCACTGGTAGCAGGGTTTAGCGAAATCAGCCAAAGCAGCCGGATCTACAGTGTTTCGGTGTATGGATCACAGCTGATAAACTGAACTGAACCGGAGCGGTAGTCCAAGCCACTCAAGCACGCCCATGTAAGCCCATCATACAGCACTAACGTGCAGTAATTGCATGCGACAGAACACAGAGTTAATATTACTTACTGCCTTTTGAAATGGGATTCCGGTTCAATTGGTTTGCCGACGAAGAGTCCCAGTGGTGAGACGGAGGCCTTCTTGAGTAACACATCAACAAGCTGAGCCATCCTCAGCTTCTTATAGTCCTTTATATTGTATTTGGCAGCCAATTGTTCCAATTCTGAACGAGTCAAACAACCAATCAGGCACTCATGGTCTATGGAACTCAGATCTACATCAAAGAACGACATTAGAACGCAGAACAAACAATGGAATACCGGATGACAGCAACCCTAAAGTAACAACCTCATGTAAGCTGATATCTAGCTCATTGCCAGCTAGTTTCTCTAGGTCATTTCTTCGGAAAATCACCTGAACGCGACCAAAAATGCGAATGGAGAGAAACTGCGCCTTTTCTAAGAAATGTTATCAACAATAGCAAAAACCAGAATACCGCTCAGTTTAGTGAATTTGTCCAAGAAGACCAGTTCATCCTCAGGAAGGATCTTCAGAAATAAGCTTTCTGATATTACTTGGCAGATGATGTCCCTAAGAGATTGGACGGCATAAGGAACTGAAACATAGTCGGAGATTAAGGATTACCAGGAATGTCCTCATCCTCGGCAAGTGCTGCGGATGATTCAGGAACCCCAGTTGGAGAAGTCACGAAGACCATCGTTGGTTGCGGTAGGGAGAGAGGTGAAATAAACGCGTAAAGCTGTAATGTGTACGAGGTGGGATTCCTAGTTCCTCCGCGTCCAGTGCACAAAATAAGTCGTAATAGACATGTGGGGCTGAAATACAGACACATGTATACACATTTAGTTATGTGTGACACTGTACCAATAACAGTGTAATTGGAAGTGTGACACGACAGTTAAATGCTGAAACAAAAAAAACCGACTGCAAAATGTTGATCAAAGGAAAAGCGTCTCATAGCATGTCTATCATTAAGTGCGCTTTTATCATATTCGAGAGCGTTTCCAGCCAAACGTGTTCGTTGTTCGCGCATCCCAGTCTGGAATTCGAAAGTGCCCAACCATAGTCAAACCGGAGATAAAGGCCTCCACACTTTGAGTCAATGACACGTTGGCCACATTGATTTCAATCCCAGCCAAGTAAAGCGCGCGCAAGCAAGGCAACGCATGGCTGAGCTAGTGCTTAGCAGACATGGGAAGCACGTGCCTAGGCCATGGAAGCCTGTGCAGAAACGTTGACTACAAAAAATAGTCCCAGCCTCACAAAAGTGTAGGGAACTCGTTCGTCAAACTGCCAAAGCTGTCGTCTCGCGAAGTAAACGAACTCATCGACCACTTCGAAAGAACAACTCTAAAGAACGAAGTTTAGAGGATATTCAGATTAGTCCAGTAGGAATACTTCACGCTTTGAGAGGACAGACATCAGGCATCAGCAGTACACCGGTACGCAGTATCGACGCTTTGCTACCGTGCAACCACCACCGGTCGGACGTGGGCTAAGGCTAGTGCGAGGATAGCCCTGTCTCTACGCAGGCTCGAACCCGCGCCGCCAGGTTACAAGACAAGCTTGTTACCTTTAGGCTACGGGCCGGCTTGAGGGAGCGGTCGGTTAGAAATGGTAAACGAGTGCCTCCCACTTATGCAGTACAATATGGGGTGCCTGTGAGGGCTCACAAATAACTATCGTCAGCACAATTCAGACAGTGAAATCAAATTTTCCACTAGTACTTCGGCACAAATGGCTTTATAGTTATCCACAGTACTCTCCAAGTTGTCATTCATAACAAGGTAGAATAAGACGGCCGATGTTGGGTAGCGCCGTGGCACATGACGAATGATATTGAGGGAAAGCAAAATAATATAGCCATGCACGTATGAACAGTCCGAGCTTGGAAAGCAATGGCTTGGGGACTGATAACACGCCTCCCATGCACACAATTTTCCAAGAGCAGCTCTGTTCATTGAGCCAAACGCAGCTAGGATATGTAAGACAATGGTCGCTGGCCAGCAGAGCGTTCGAAGACGCTCATGTGCTTGGTGTATTGTACCATTTGATCAATACAGCTCCAACCTGAGCGAAAAGCAACTTGCTGTTTGTGTGCACAGTGGCGTCTCTCTTAAAAAGAAGTCAGTGATCACTTGAAACGCAACGCAGATAAGGCCAAATCCAAAATGATTAGTGTAGTCTGTGCGACTAGCTTTTTGAAAACGGGTGTGACAACGCAAAACCCGAATCGACGGATCCAAATACCCTGGTCATGTTAACTCGCAAGAGGAAAGAGCTTGAAAAAAGCAGAGGAAGTTTATCATGGATCAGAGGCTTCGTGGCGCTACAAAGGACGAAGTTCATGATTAGTATCAGTCTCAGATGACGAACTCATCTGGAAATCCCAATCCGTCGCAACGAGACTGGATCTTAACTTATTGCGGTGGGTTTGCGTACCCTCGTGACCAGTGCGCTACGCTGGGTAGCACTTTCCGAGTGCTTTCAGAGCCACTCATATCCGATAGATCAATGGTTAGAAGTTAGACTAACCTTATTTCACAATCCAATCCTCTTTAGAGGTTATGGAGAGGTCAAGAGCGTTCTTCTTTAAAATCTAACCATGGGAGACGCCAGGTCTACGGTTTATAAGCTCACAGATCCGACTGGCGTCAGAGAACGAGCGCCACGCTTGTCTCTAACGGTGAGAGTGCACCACCAACGTGCTCAACTAGTTTTTGCTTACCGCCTCGACTCAGGCTAGGCACCACCCTGGTGTAAACACGCAAGTCCCACCTTCGGCTCAGGCCATAGTCGCAGGTGTGTAACCTATAACGGGTCGCAGAAGATATGTGTATTGTCTTCTAGAACCTTAAAGGCTGTGCGTGACACAGGCCTCAAACAGATCCAGTGACACATTACAATCACACTCCCGAACTGGACTTCCTTCCTATTGCCTTGTGGGTCAGGATATTCAGCCACAGGCTCCGGGTGTAGTCCCCCTGAGCAAAATTCATGTACGCCACTACACTACCTGTGGGTCACAGTTGAGCAAAGGCTAGAAGCAGGGCACCTAGAACAAAAGTCCCATCTCGAAATGGGGACCTGGAAGTACCATATGTACTCTCGACCTCGTAGACAATACTCTCTCTTCTGTTTATTGTTTCCCTCTGATTTGACCCCTTCCGCTTCTCCGTCTATGAGAAAGAGATCGATACTGACCTCGCAGCTGCTGTCATCGATACATGTAGCTCTTTCATTAAACTTGGAGTTTCACTTCAACATTGCTCCCTTTAACGTCCGCACTCAAGGTCAGCTGTTCGGCAGCACGCAACACTGACTTTCACTCCTCTCTCTTGTATTGACGTGTGCTATGTCTCTTGGTCGGTGGGGTCGAACTCCCCCGTGTATTTAGCCAGGTTGACCTAAGCATCGTACACTCTTCGGCTTTACACTCCGGCGACAACTGGAAGAAGGCCGCAAGCAGAGGTTTCCGAATGTTGTAGTTAATCCGACGTTCTTTCGGAGTCTTGACGGGGCGGCATCTTTACGAGGCTGTTCTCGGATTTCGTTCGGCCTCATCTGGAATACTGCGTCCAGGCTTGTCCGCCCTGCCTCGTCCGGGACAAAGTGGAGCTAGAGAAGGTTTTACTAGTGGGTACTAGGTTATTTGAGGGATTACGGGGACGGACGTCCCCGAGCGTCTACTTAGTTTTGGAATGCATTCAATGCACTACCGAAGGCTTAGAGGAGACCTAATCCTAACCTACCGTATCTTGGCTGGGAAGGTTGGTGCAGATTTATCTTGGCTATTTAGTCCCGCTAGATTGTCTGTTCTACGCGGTCATTCCTTGAAGCTGGACAAACCGCGGTCCGAACGGATTAGGGCGGAAATCCGGCTGTCACGCCGAGTCATCGACCGCTGGAACATGCTTCCGGAAAGTGTTATCAGGGAATCTACGGTTAAGGGGTTTGAGCGGCAACTTGACGCTCTTGGGTGGCAACACGAAAACTTTCCATTTTCCTGAGTAACTCGCATCTTCGTACTTCGATTTTCTTTTCTCTACTTTTCCTCACGTATTGGTATTATTTTCTTATTTAAGTGCACTTCCCTATTCTGTACCTTCGATTTCTCTTCCTATCCTTTGCTTACTTCACGTGACTGCCACAGCAGGGACTGCTAGGGCAGGAAACGTGGGCATTAACTGGTTGGCCAAGGTGCGATACGGATGTTTCCGTTTTAGATCCATCAATAACTGAGCACTTCATCAACTCCTGGCTCAACGATCCACTCAAGATGAAACACTCACGGGATTCTCCTATCGTTCCAGTCCCCATCTGAACTGAACTGCAATCACGAGTACCCCTCGACCTGGACTTCCTTGGATTCAACCAGATTTCAGCCATTCCTAATAAGTCAGGTCGATGAGCGAAAATGTAGCGGCACAAATCGTCACGTTTGTCCATTAAACTGTAAACCTTATTGAAGGCTGTGCACAGCTCCCTGTTGGAATCGCTGGCCGTGCATGAAGCATCATCGACCTGTTGATTCAGGTTTGTCGAACCCAGGGAACTACCCGAGCTGTTCTATCATCCGTTTTAAATTATTCAACCGCTCCACGCCTCCATGGTGCTCTTACTTCAACGCAGCGAGTGGCGCATCGCCGAGCTCGCAAGTGACATGTGCCAGCTCTCCTATTCGCATTCCTCGAGTATCGTTTGTAATCCGGCCGCGTTCCGCGATTGGCTGTAAGAGACCGGTCATGAACTGATTCACCAGTACTTGCTGTTTTGACGGTTTAAGTCAAGTCAAGTCAAAATAAGTTTTATGAACCCTAATGGGTTCATTTTCAGCATTTACACCACGACTGCGGACGCAGATGATAATATCAGTATACATACTTGGGTAGAAAAAAGGAAAAAAAGCAGAACTGTTACTCCAACAAGCGCTTGTGCAGAATGTTAGTGATTTTGCTGTTAACAAGCAAACATGAGAGATAAGGTGAAACAGTATGATACAATGACGTGCGGGAGAACAAACTTCTCAATTTCGAACGAGTAGAAGAGATAGAGAGCGTTTTGGAAAGATCATTGTGAAGTGGATGAAGTCGGTCAGTTAGTATCTTAGAAGGAAAATCAAAGCAGGCATCAAGATGTCTATAAATGATCAAATCAACTAACGAATCTCTAGACAAGTAGCTGCATCTAGAAATATGCTTTATAGATCGCACCAATAAGATGCAGTCTCTAAAGCAGTCCAGCGAAAATGACAGGAGAGCAGTATAGCCAATGGGGAATAATACAAGAGGTCACAAACCTGAATATTAAAGTACGAGGTCCTGAAGACACCCTAAGTCTGAAGGCATAAAAGGCAAGTTTTCTGACTTTTTGCACAGTTTTACAGACGTTCGTGGACCAAGAAAGGTTCTGGAACCAAAAAACGCCGAGTTACTTGACGGTGGAAGAGCTGGCTATGGTATTTTCATTCACAGTAGCTGTGGGGAAGAAATCTATGAGGGACTGCAATTTTTCGCCAAGTAGAAAAGAACATATTACATCCCTGCATTTTGAAGCATTAAGCGTAAGAGATCTGGATGCAGACCATTCCACCAGATTTTCCAATCCACGTTGAAATGATGAGGAATCCTGGTTAGTGGAGCACATACATCCCAGCACATCATCATCATATTTACACCCTATAAAGGTGGTTTGTATAGGGAGATATTCAACATACAAGGAAAATAGAAAAGGTGATATGCTCGCTCCCTGTAGAACACCACAGTTGGCACGGTGGGCAGAGGATTTCTTACCGTTCAACTTGGTGAAGTGAGTACGATCTGTAAACTAGTCACGTAACAGATTACACACAGAAAGGTGAACTCCATTTTCAGATCGTTGATTTAGCCACTTTGACCTACCAGAAGTGACACAGCTACCAAGGTAAGTAAACCGAACCACCACTTCCAGTGGTTGTTCGGTGATAGCTAGAACCGAAGATGTGTCGGTCCAGTCCTGCAACAATACTTTGCACTTTTAAGATGCAAAGTACATGTCCGAGCGTGCGGCGCTACGCGTCCGTCTATCCAACAGTGCATAGCCACTGCGTCAGACCCAGTGAGAGTTATGTCGTCCCGCATACTCCAAATTTGCCAGTCGGTCACTTGGCAGAACTTTCACTCTGGTAGAATCGGAAAGAACATTGTCACTCCTGCTTATATCGATAACAAAGTTGGAGGGAACGAGGTATAGGACAATCATGGTGAATCCCAGTTGTCGTGGGGACCTCAGGAGACAGTTTACCGCAGTCTCTTACAGGGTCTCTGGAGTCACGGTAGAGAGACTTCAGAATCGTAAAGAATTTAGCCGGTACGCCCCTCATGGATAGAAACTGTCACAAGCTGGTGCGATCAACAGAGTCGAATGCCGCTTCTTTTTGTTTCGGGGAATGCAGCGAAGCAAAGGGGAGAAGACAACTGCCAGCAATCAGCGACGTTGTAAGCTTATGATATTTCACGCACCTGAGTCGACAGATACTAGTCCTCAGGCTCGTTATGACCACGACGTGGATTTTCTGCAGAGCCTGGTTGATAGGCTTCTCGACGTGAATGAACAGGGGTTGCGGGTGAAACAAATCACCCGTCTTGGAAAGAGAGAGGAGGGGATTTCCCGGCCTCTGCGAGCCACGTTTGTTGATTCATTGAGTCCGAGGCTGATACTATCCCGCCTCGGTAGGTTAAGAGGTCTAAAGATTCATATTAGTCCCGATTCGCATCCATCGGACAGGGAGAAACTGGAGTCCGCTATAGTGGAGAAACCAATCTCCACATCGTAATTTTTTCGGGTAGTTCTTACTTTACTTTACTTTACTGTCATGATAGCGAGAAAGATGTTGAACATCTATGTAGCTATATCTCAATGTAGGACATGTCCCACTGACACAGTGTTACCTGTAGTACTGAGCTAGCCCAGGTGCAAAAAGTAAAATATTTACGAGCATAGAAAAAATCTCCATGTACTTACGATATATTCTTGGATGAACCACATGGAGTCCTTCACCAGCTCCGCCGCCTATTACGGATGGGCATCGTTTCGGAAGCTGCAGTTGGTGGATTAACGGGCTCCATGGGTTATAATCATTGAACGATTCCTTCGTCAGTTTCCTGTGAAGGCTTCGTCGAATCTGGCATCCGCAAAGTGCGCGTCCAGGAATCGTTTGAATTCCGACACCGAGTTCGCTTCTACTATCCGCGAGGGCAAACGGTTCCACATGTTCACCACTCGCCGCTCAAGACACAAGGGATAAGCTACCCACTTGAGGTCAGGGACTACCAGTTTGTACTGGTGACCTCGTGTGCTGCTTGACGCACGGACATGGAGCAGTGGCCTCAGCATCGGATAAGCACCCAGATGCAATACCCGATGGGTCATGATGAGGTCCACTCGCACGCGGCGGTAGGCTAGAGTATACAGACCCAATTGTCTGCATCTTTCTTCATACGGCACACCCTGAAGACCGGGAATGAGCCGTGTGGCTATGTGTTGTACTCTTTCGAGCTTGTGTATCTCGCCTTTCGTCAACGGACAGTAGGCGGGTGAGCCGTATTCTAGCACCGGTCGTACAATGGATGTGAAGAGACGAGTGGCAATCTCTTTCGACCAGGTGCAGAAGCTACGTTTCAGCGCCCACAGCGAACGCAATGCTGTGCGATACGTATTGTCCGTGTTGTCTAGTGACTTCATGTCGTAACGTTGTATAACGCCAAGGTCTCTGACGCAATGCGCCGGGTGTAGAACTTGGCCGTCGAGAGTGTACGATCGGCCCGCTCCACCTTTACCGAGGCACAGAAGTAGCGATTTTGCCGAGTTGATAGGCAAACTTACTTCGGCGGACCACATGGAGAGGCGGTCGAGGTCCTGCTGAAGTATGTCAAAGTCGTCCGACGTATGGATCACCCTCCATAGCTTCAGGTCATCCGCGAACAAGGCACACGGCGACCGAAGGAGATTGGGCACGTCGTTGATGTGAATCAGGAAGAGAATGGGGCCAAGCACCGTCCCCTGAGGAACGCCGCTCGTCGACGGGTACCAGTCGGTCAGGTGGCTGTCGACTTGCACCCTCCACTTCCGTCCAACTAAGAAGTCACGGATCCATTGGTGCAGCGAGCCTCCGACTCCGCACTCCCTCAGTTTCTGAAGGAGGATCTCGTGATTCACTCTGTCGAAGGCCTTACTGAAATCGACGTATACCACGTCGACTGACTTACGTTGGTTTACTGCTTGCAACCATTCATGCCATGTTAGCAGCAGGTTAGTGATGCACGAGCGGCCTCTCACGAAACCATGCTGTGCAGGCGTCAGGAGAGAGTTGATCTCCAGTAGCTGGAGCAGTCTCTTCTTCACAATCTTCTCCAGAACTTTCGACAATACTGCGGTCAAACAAATAGGGCGGTAATTCTCCACTTTGCGTGTGTCACCGCCTTTTGGAATCGGTTTGACAACGGCGCATTTCCAGTCACAAGGCACGCAGCCTATGGACAGGGATCGGTTGAACAGGTCGGTTACAGCAGGTGAGATCACAGCTGACAAGGACTTGAGGATCAGCGGATGGAGACCATCCGGTCCAGCTGGCTTCGTGCTGTCTAGGCAGCTGACTAGCCCATGTACCTCCGCGACGTTGCAGATCAAGTCGGTTAGCTCAGTCGGTGCGGCGACGGCAGAGCTTGGCGCGGAGGTTTGGTTAGTTGCGAATACAGAAGCGAAGTGCGCCGCTAATGCGGACGCACGCTCGGTGTTTGAACTTAGTGGTTGTCCGTTCGAACCCACTAGCACCGGCACATTACCTGCAGACTTCAGGCGTCGCTTCACGTACGCAAATATGCGCTTCGGGGCAGTTTTAGCTGAGCAAGCAAGCTGCTCCTCAAACTGACGGCGTTTTCGCGTCTTTGTGCTGTTGCACAAGTTTCGTTGTCGCTTGTATGCCTCATAGTCATCGGCAGAGCCAGACAGGAGGAACACATTCCATAGTCGACGCCGTTGTCGAGACAGTCGGTTATACTCTTTGTCAAACCAATGGGGTTTCAGTGGTCCAACTTTCCGAGTCTTGAGGGGTACAAATTGCGCACACAATGAGTGCACTGCCCCTTTAATGTTTGCCCAGCAAGTTTCAACGGATGAATCCTGTGGCATAGACCAATCAAGCTGATTGGCAGCTAGAATGAGGCCATCGAAGTCAGCTTTCTAATAGTTGTATGTTGGCGCCACTGGACGCACACATGGAAGCTGCAGGTCTATAGTGGCCATAATTGTCGAGTGATCACTGGCCGCCATGGGCTCAAGAACTTCTATGTCATGCACTGTTTGTTCGCAGCTGGTTAGCAGCAGGTCCAGGCATGATGGCATTGAGCGCGGGGTTATGCGGGTGGGTTGCGTGATGTGCTGCACCGTTCCGGTTTCCAGTACCAGTTCGGCGAATCTTGTCTCCACTTCATTATGGCCAGGGAGAAGCTGAACTTCAGGCCATAAGATTCGAGGAAGGTTAAAGTCGCCAGTGAGCAGGAACTGCGGGCGACTCATTTGGTTTTGGACGTGTGTGAGCCAATCCAATCCGTTACTCAGTGGGCTACGATATGCCACACCCACAAGCAGTTCGCCGCGTCGTAGGTGGACCGAACACCACAGCTGCTCACATAGACCGTCAATGCTTCGGTAGGTGCTCACGAGTCTTCCGCACAGGGTAGACCGGAGGTAAAGTAGGACGCCACCGCGGCTATTCGACTGTCGATCACAGCGGAAGCACGAATAGTCCGTGATCGCAATTTCTTCGCTTGTCACTTCAGATGTCAACCACGTCTCAGCCAAACCAACCACATCTGGCCGACGTGAAGCAATGAAGCGGATCAGATCATCGTGCTTGTTCATTAAGCTGCATACATTAATGAACGCTACACGCAATCCGCGGCAGGAACCGCTGGGCGAGCTTGAAGCGTCATTGCTCTGTTTACCCGGATTCGGGGTATCCGGGCAACTGTGCGAAAATTTACGATACGCATGTTAGTTTCACCGGCGTCCGTGCGTCGTTTCAGTTCGATCACGGCAGACTTCAGCTGCTCTCGTTCTGCGGGATCAAGGTCTGGCCGGACATGGATTTTCATCCCCTTTAGGCGACCGAGGCGGGACAGTACTAACCTTGGGGCAGTTTCGTCGGCGAACGCGATGCGCAGAGGCCGACACTTGCCATCAACTTGTTTCCCCAGACGAGTGACTTGTTTCACTCGTAACCCGGGTTCGCCAACATCCAGTAGTTTGACGGTTAGAGACTGCAAGAATTGCACATCATGGTCATAGCGTACCTGGGGACTGGGATCAGTCGACTCAGGTGCGTGGAAAATCATGACGTTGCATAGCCGTCCCCGTGGTGACTTGCTATCGCTTGGCTTAGGGGTCTGCCGAACTCGGATCAACAGATCGATGTCGCTACATGCGCCTGTGCCGGTTCTTACCGCAACCTGCGCATAGCCTTCACAAATTTTTTGTAGTTTTATGATTAAACGTGACGATGTATTTCACTTTGTTGTCTTACCTCTTCCGGTCATACTAGAACTGGCCGAAACCTGGTTAACTTCTGAGCTCAATACCCAGGAAGTTGGGATCAGTGGCTACTTGTGTTTTGCTACTTGTGTGTTGCGACAAACTATCAAACGATCGAAGCGGCGTGCTGTTATACCATTAGTCCTCGCTGTGCGGGAGACTGGTACACGCCTACCATAGCGAAGATGGTTTGTGCGAACAGTTATGGTGCTCGATCCGTTTGCGACGGGGTGAACTGCTTGTGCGTGCTTCTTATCGCAGCCCGCGAAGTCGATGCCTGGATTAGTTTCCACGTGTCAGAAACTACATGAGTTGGCCCCGCTTCCTGCTCATGGGCGATTTTAACTTCACTTGAATACGGAGGCCTGAGGTACAACTTCTCCCCGGGCACTGAAATCGAGGCACAGTTTGCGGAAATGGTATTTGAAACTGGAGGAGCACAACATCTCTGCCAATTGACGCGCGTTACACTCCATTCCGCTCCATCGTGCCTGGACCTACTACTAACGAGTTGCGAGCAACGTGTACGTGGAATTCAGATCTTGGAGCCTTTTGGCAGCTAGTGACCACTCGCTGGTGTTAGCCAACCTATAGCTGCCGCTGCCCTCCTTGCGTCTACCGCAGCCGTCCTACAATTAGTGCAAGACCGACTTCAATGTCTAAATCGAGCCTATAGTGAAGTAGACTGGTCGCATGCCACAGGATCCGTCTGTTGAGTCCCGTTGGTCTGTTATGAAAGAGGTTGTGCGCTCGTTTCGGATCCATCACGTATCGGAAAACTGGTCCAGTGAAGCCACATTGGTTCGACAGAGAGTATAGTCAATTCGCTCAACGGCGACGCGAATTGTGGAGTAAATTCCTCGTCTGTGGCTCTGCCGACGATTATGAGGCGTACAAAAGACAGCGGAATCTATGCAACTGCGCAAAAACTTCGTCAGTTCGAAGAGGAGCTTGCCACCTCAGCGAAGGCAGACCCCAAGCAGATTGCAGCTTACGTGAAGCGGCGCCTGAGGCCTGCAAGGGAAGTAGCTGTGTTAGAGGGCACTGACGAACAGCCTCTGACCTCCAGCACTAAACTTGCGTCCGCATTGACGGAGCACTTCGCTTCCGTATGTACAAGTGGGCATGCGCCTATGCCGAGCTCGACGTGTACAGCCCCTACTGAACTCGAGGGCCTTGATTGCGGTGTAGAAGATGTCCGCAGTCTACTCGCCAGTCTTGATGAGATAAAACCTACCGGACCCGATGGAGTTCACACAATTATTTGGAAGTCCTTATTGGTCATCATCTCGTCTGCCGTGACGGATCTGTTCAACAGATTGCTGTCCGAGGGTGCATTGCCGAGCGACTGGTAATGCTCGGTAGTGAAGCCGATTCCAAAAGGTAGTGACCTACACAATGTAGACAAGTACCGGCCAATTTGTCGCACCTCAGTTTTGGCGAAGCGGGCTCGAGAAGCTTGTGAAAAAGGGTCTTCCCCAGCTGCCTGAGTCAAAAGATCTCCTAACGCTGGCACAGCACGGCTTCATGAAGGGCTGCTCGTGCATCACCAACCTGCTGTTGACGCGGCAGGAATGGTTGCAAGCGTTGAATCGGGGGAAGTCAGTGGGTGTTATTTACATTGTTTTCAGTAAAGCTTCTGATAAAGTGAACCATGAGGTTCTGCTCCACAAGCTGAGGATGTGTGGTGTTGGTGGCGCACTACACCAGTGGATCACTGACTTCTTTATTGGGAGAAGATGGCGGGTTCAGGTGGATGACCACCTAACGGAATGGTACCCGTCCACTAGCGGCGTGCCCCAAGGCACAGCACTGGGGCCTATTTTATTCCTGATCCACAAAAACGAAGCACCTCAGCTTCTTCGGTCACCCTGCATATTATTTGCGGATGACCTGAAGATTTGGAGGATTATTGATTCACCAAGCGACTGTAACGTCCTTCCTCAGGATCTCGACCGCAAATCCCAGTGGTCTGCAGAAGTTGACCTACCGGTCAAAACGAATAAGTCCTCTTTTATGAGCTTGGGGAGGGGTGGTAATGGGCGTACGTACACTCTGGTCGGCCACCCGCTGCCTCACACCAGTTCCGTAAAGGATCTAGGCGTACTCTCACGCTGTGATCTGAGGTCTGTCGACAACACGTACAGACTGAACACAAACGGAGTACGCCTGCTTTGGGCACATAGATTCAGCGTCTGCACTTCGTCTGAAGAAATTGCCTCCCGTCTGTTCTCTTCCATCATAAGCCGGCTTGAGTACGGTCATCCACCTATTGCTCGATCACGATAGGTGAGATGCAGAGACTGGAACGGTTCCAGCATGTACCTTTTTGGCTCATCCCCAGTTTACGGGGTATGTCGTACTAGGACCGATGTAGGAGACTATACCGTCATATCGTCGGCTTCGAGTTGATCCCAATATGACTCACCGGATATTGCACATGGGCCATTTCCTTATGTCGAAGTCGCTAATTCACGTTCGCGCATCAAGCAGCACACTTGGACACCGGTACAAACTAGTGTTACCGGATTTAAAGCACATCGCCCACCCTCTGTGCTTCGAGCGTCGAGTGGTGAAATATTGGAACAAATTGCTGGGAACGCTAGTCGAGGCGAAATCGGTGTCGGAACTTAAGTGATTCCTTGAGGCCCATTTTGCGGACTACAGGTATAGGGAGCGTGTCACACCCGGATAAGATGTAGTGCGGTTATAATATGCTGTCACCCCGCAGGAATCAGCGACGTGCTTTCGCGCGTGTGCCCGATCCACCTGCGATGGAGCAACACAGATTTTTCTCTCGCTCTCTATTTTCAGTATTCTAGGAAAATCACCATTATCGGTCGTCTGTCTGTGTGTCTCTGCTCCAACACTTGGCGAAAAGCAAATTTGTGGTCGATACAACCACGACCAAGGCGAAAGCTAGCCTAGCTTTCATTTATTCGGTTCTCATGGGGACCAGTGTGTCGAAATCGTCGGATACTCGTGAGTAGTTTGGATGCAGTGGAAACAAGGTTGTTGTCCCAATGATTTCCGTACAAAGTACGCTGACCCTACTTGAAGATAAGCAGGATAGTTGGCAGTCGCAGGTCTTAAGGAATCTTTTCACTATTCCAAATCGTGTTAGATAGAGCAGCGAGTCCAGTCAACGAAGGGTCACCACCATCTTTCAGCAAAGATGTAGAAAGGTCGTCGGGTCCAAGAGCTTTGTTTCGTTTCAACACGGGAAGCTCACGTCTTCCAAAGTGGGCGTTGCCGTATCCTTCCCACGACGGCTCAGGCGATTCGGCAAGCTGCAGGGTCGCAGCAAGCACAACGTACTAGTCGACGACGCTGAGAATGGATCAACTTCCCGTTTTTCTCAGCTGTTGTCTCACTAACGGATGGGTTTCTCGAACCTGTTTCGGCTTGAGTTGGAACAGGACTCGGCTGTTCCCCATAACACAGGCTTTCTGCATCTCTTGGGCCGTTGCGATCCACCGATGTTCCCGGTCGATTCGAAGACGTCTTGTGATGCCCATTGAAACTTGTTTCCGTGCTTCGATCATGCTGATCGATGCCTCAGAGATCCATTCGCAGTTAGGACGTCTCAAGTTGGGTGCACAGCATGCGTCAAAGGCATTCTTCATGGCACATTTGAGACGATTCAAATTAGTGTTCGGTTCACCAGCTTCATTCATTACTGACAATTGGCGAGCCGGTTCGTCGTGATATTGTTGAGCTGTAGATTGCGAGTTTAAGTTACAGGTAAGAAGGTTAGAAGATAGACGCTTCTTTGAAGCGGGAAGTGGGCGCCAAGCATACGCGCACTAGAGCATGGTCGGAATCCAGGCAGCGCTTCAAATTGACTGACAGTCCTGGACTGATGTGCGCCACCTGTAGCTGTTGGCAATATGTTAAGTTTGGGTCCGGGTCATGGAGGAATTCGCTGGGCACCGGGTGACGCAGTGTAAATGTTTGTGCTGGAAAGCATTGCTACAAATACAAAGATTGTGGTCGGCACACAGTTGCAGTAATCGATCACCATTGTCTGTTCGCCGTGCATTGACCCCGAAGCGCCCTCCCACGTGCAGTTCAGAGTACCCTTTTGGGCCGTGTTTCAACACAAGCATTATGTTGGTATTCGACGCCATGCGAAGAAGATATGTGAGCTGTCGATAAAAATCATCTTTTATACCGTCTGATCTGCATTCAGTAAGAGCATGAACGGAGGCGATGGCAAGAAACTTTGTTTTCATACGGTGCTTATTAACCCCGCGCACATGGATTTTCAAACCCTTGAGTCTACCTTGAGTCTATCAACCTTGGACCAGCTTCGTCGGCAAAAGTGGCCCTCATGGGTCGAACTTTTCCCTTAGTTTTCCTTCCCAGTCGGGTAATTTGCTTCACTTTCAGCTCGTCTTCATCGACCTCGAGCAGTCTATCAACCAGACTGCAGAAACTTGACGCCGTGTTCATAACGAACCTTAGGGTTCGAATCCGACGATTCAGGTCGCTGGACATCGTTTTCGGTTTCTTTGGCTTTTGCGTTTGCCAGAGGTCGTCACTACCTGACTTGTCACACATTCGCGTTGCAGTGCCCGTCGACGGATAGCAGGTGGTAAAGAGGGGCTACTCGGCAATCTAGAGATCCACTCAACAGAGCTGGTGGTAGGCGTGCAAGGTGCTTGTATCTGTCCCTTCCGCGCATAACTTACAGAGCTGCGGGCCTTGGAACGCCTCGCTTTACCGGCCCGTTGATTAGATTTCCTAGGGGAATTGGACTGCAGTTTGCACTGGCACATTTTACATTAATCTTGACAAACTCGTGCGGAATCTCGCCGTTAACATGAAAACAGTCCACATAAAGAGCAATATGCGAAATGTGAAAAATCACCTGGCAAATGCCACGTGAAATAGCGTTTGCCAAGTGTGTAGTCATGGTCTTCAAATTCAGAACCAGGGAGTCGAAGATTCGTCACAACGCTGTTATCTTACATGTGTGTTTCAGAGACATAGCACACGTCAATACCAAGAGAGAGGAGTGAAAGTCAGTTGTTGCGTGCTGGCCGAACTGACCTTGAGTGCGGACGTTAAAGGAGCCAATGTGAAGTGAAACTCCAAGTTTAATGAAAGAGCTACATGTATCGATGACAGCAGCTGCGAGGTCAGTATCGATCTCTTTCTCAATAGACGGAGAAGCGGAAAGGGGTCAACAGAGGGAACAATAAACAGAAGAGAGAGTATTGTCTACGAGGTCGAGAGTACATATGGTACTTCCAGGTCACCCATTTCGAGATGGGACTTTTGTTCTAGGTGCCCTGCTTCTAGCCTTTGGCTCAACTGTGACCCACAGGGTAGTGGCGTACATGGAATTTTGCTCAGGGGACTACACCCGGAGCCTGTGGCTGAATATCCTGACCCACAAGGCAATAGGAAGGAAGTCCAGTTCGGGAGTGTGATTGTAATGGTCCACTGGATCTGTTTGAGGCCTGTCACGCACAGCCTTTTAAGGTTTAGAACAATACACATATCTTCTGCGACCGTTATAGGTTACACACCTGCGACTATGGCGAGCCGAAGGTGGGACTTGGCGTGTTTACACCAGGGGTTGCCTAGCCTGAGTCGGGCGGTAGCAAACTATTGAGCACGTGGTGGTGCACTCTCACCGTTAGAGACAAGCGTGGCGCTCGTTCTCGACGCCAGTCGGACTGTGAGCTTATAAACCGTAGACCTGGCGTCTCCCATGGTTAGATTTTAAAGGAAGAACGCTCTTGACCTCTCCATAACCTCTAAAGAGGATTGGATTGTGAAATAAGTTAGTCTAACTTCTAACCATTGATCTATCGGATATGAGTGGCTCTGAAAGCACTCGGAAAGTGCTACCCAGCGTAGCGCACTGGGTCACGAGGGTACGCAAACCACCGCAATAAGTTAAGATCCAGTCTCGTTGCGACGGATTGGGATTTTCCAGATGAGTTCGTCATCTGAGACTGATACTAATCATGAACTTCGTCCTTTGTAGCGCCACGAAGCCTCTGATCCAGATAAACTTCCTCTGCTTTTTTCAAAGCTCTTTCCTCTTGCGAGTTAACATGACCAGGGTATTTGGATCCGCCGATTCGGGTTTTGCGTTGTCACACCCGTTTTCAAAAAAGCTAGTCGCACAGACTACACTAATCATTTTGGATTTGGCCTTATCTGCGTTGCGTTTCAAGTGATCACTGACTTCTTTTTAAAGAGACGCCACTGTGCACACAAACAGCAAGTTGCTTTTCGCTCAGGTTGGAGCTGTATTGATCAAATGGTTACAATACACCAAGCACATGAGCGTCTTCGAACGCTCTGCTGGCCAGCGACCATTGTCTTACATATCCTAGCTGCGTTTGGCTCAATTAACAGAGCTGCTCTTGGAAAATTGTGTGCATGGGAGGCGTGTTATCAGTCCCCAAGCCATTGCTTTCCAAGCTCGGACTGTTCATACGTGCATGGCTATATTATTTGCTTTCCCTCAATATCATTCGTCATGTGCCACGGCGCTACCCAACATCGGCCGTCTTATTCTACCTTGTTATGAATGACAACTTGGAGAGTACTGTGGATAACTATAAAGCCATTTGTGCCGAAGTACTAGTGGAAAATTTGATTTCACTGTCTGAATTGTGCTGACGATAGTTATTTGTGAGCCCTCACAGGCACCCCATATTGTACTGCATAAGTGGGAGGCACTCGTTTACCATTTCTAACCGACCGCTCCCTCAAGCCGGCCCGTAGCCTAAAGGTAACAAGCTTGTCTTGTAACCTGGCGGCGCGGGTTCGAGCCTGCGTAGAGACAGGGCTATCCTCGCACTAGCCTTAGCCCACGTTCGACCGGTGGTGGTTGCACGGTAGCAAAGCGTCGATACTGCGTACCGGTGTACTGCTGATGCCTGATGTCTGTCCTCTCAAAGCGTGAAGTATTCCTACTGGACTAATCTGAATATCCTCTAAACTTCGTTCTTTAGAGTTGTTCTTTCGAAGTGGTCGATGAGTTCGTTTACTTCGCCAGACGACAGCTTTGGCAGTTTGACGAACGAGTTCCCTACACTTTTGTGAGACTGGGACTATTTTCTGTAGTCAACGTTTCTGCACAGGCTTCCATGGCCTAGGCACGTGCTTCCCATGTCTGCTAAGCACTAGCTCAGCCATGCGTTGCCTTGCTTGCGCGCGCTTTACTTGGCTGGGATTGAAATCAATGTGGCCAACGTGTCATTGACTCAAAGTGTGGAGACCTTTATCTCTGGTTTGACTATGGTTGGGCACTTTCGAATTCCAGACTGGAATGCGCGAACAACGAACACGTTTGGCTGGAAACGCTCTCGAATATGATAAAAACGCACTTAATGATAGACATGCTATGAGACGCTTTTCCTTTGATCAACATTTTGCAGTCGGTTTTTTTGTTTCAGCATTTAACTGTCGTGTCACACTTCCAATTACACTGTTATTGGTACAGTGTCACACATAACTAAATGTGTATACATGTGTCTGTATTTCAGCCCCACATGTCTATTACTTATTTTGTGCACTGGACGCGGAGGAACTAGGAATCCCACCTCGTACACATTACAGCTTTACGCGTTTATTTCACCTCTCTCCCTACCGCAACCAACGATGGTCTTCGTGACTTCTCCAACTGGGGTTCCTGAATCATTCGCAGCACTTGTCGAGGATGAGGACATTCCTGGTAATCCTTAATCTCCGACTATGTTTCAGTTCCTTATGCCGTCCAATCTCTTAGGGACATCATCTGCCAAGTAATATCAGAAAGCTTATTTCTGAAGATCCTTCCTGAGGATGAACTGGTCTTCTTGGACAAATTCACTAAACTGAGTGGTATTCTGGTTTTTGCTATTGTTGATAACATTTCTTAGAAAAGGCTCAGTTTCTCTCCATTCGCATTTTTGGTCGCGTTCAAGTGATTTTCCGAAGAAATGACCTAGAGAAACTAGCTGGCAATGAGCTAGATATCAGCTTAAATGAGGTTGTTACTTTAGGGTTGCTGTCATCCGGTATTCCATTGTTTGTTCTGCGTTCTAATGTCGTTCTTTGATGTAGATCTGAGTTCCATAGACCATGAGTGCCTGATTGGTTCCTTGACTCGTTCAGAATTGGAACAATTGGCTGCCAAATACAATGTAAAGGATTATAAGAAGCTGAGGATGGCTCAGCTTGTTGATGTGTTACTCAAGAAGGCCTCCGTCTCACCACTTGGACTCTTCGTCGGCAAACCAATTGAACCGGAATCCCATTTCAAAAGGCAGTAAGTAATATTAACTCTGTGTTCTGTCGCATGCAATTACTGCACGTTAGTGCTGTATGATGGGCTTACATGGGCGTGCTTGAGTGGCTTGGACTACCGCTCCGGTTCAGTTCAGTTTATCAGCTGTGATCCATACACCGAAACACTGTAGATCCAGCTGCTTTGGCTGATTTCGCTAAACCCTGCTACCAGTGGTAGCACTGGTACTAATAAAAAATTATACTCTATTTGCTAAAACTATAATTTTTACATGGGTCGTTGTGTTGGTTGAGGGATCGAATGCAATACGCCGCTGATGCAACTGCGTTGTCCCCAAATGGTCTCTTTCACTAACATTGCGGCGGATCGGGACTACTTCATCCAGAATTACAACAAGCGCCAACCCTACTGGGTTTTTCGGTCATTATTCATGCTCTTGCTATGTCTACTATCACTCTCAACGTTTTACTCACGTTGCCATAGTGCCGGTAGGGGTTGCACATTAAAGTAGCCGGTCAGCAGACCTGCAGACAGAAAGGCCCAGGAAATGTTGGCGCTTCGAGAATTATTAGCTCGGTTGTTGTGTGGTACTGTCTGCTTGCGGCAAATCTTGTGAAAATGCAATGCTCACCACTCCTAATCAGTGCTCACTTTCGCAGCCTACATGCCACTACCGGTGGCGACTTACCAAGGAAATCGGAGCTCTGGGAACCAATCCCGTTCTCTGCATGTTCTTAAAATGCATGGTAGTGAGGACGAACATTACTATGTCGCAGTTAGTAGCTAGTCACAATGGTTCACCTTCGTCACTCATGGCTAAACGGCTTACGTTGCCGGCTCGTAGGAGTAGGGTCACGAACTCGGACCTAGCAGGACGCAGCGGATGCGCGATAATAATAAATTTTAGTGGGCGAAACGACCGTCTAGTGCTTTTATGCATATATACTGGCTGCCTGAATGAGTTTGTCTGGGATGAATCTTATCAAAAACATAGCCTCGGCTGGTCAGTCACCAAGCCTCTATAAAGTAATAATGTGTCAGCTGTACGCCGTAACGGCGCTTCGCTGCCGCGCGACCACCACCAGTCGCACGCGGGCTGAGTATACCGCGAGGACGCCCACCTCTACGCGGACTCTAACCGGTGACCTTATGGTTGTAAACCAAACGCGCAGACCACTCGGCCACCGGCCGACAGCCTCTATAAAGACATCTAAGCGTCTTTTTTCTTCCTTCATGGGCTCATTGCCAGTGCGCATTCCTTCGCCTTAATGAAGGACCTGAACTTGCTATCTCGCTCTTGCGTATCATGTACCCAGTTCGTCAGTCATAACAGTCATCGTTATCCGCTTGGCACAGACCATCTGACTAATGTGTGACTATCTCAGAATACTCTGTGGGGCCCTTAACTAATTTACCACTCATGTAAGGACATAAGTCTGTTTGCCTACTTCATCGTGTGCAATAGTCCCTACTGTAGTTCGTGTCGGAGGTAGTCCTACTGCACAAAAGCACTGAAGAAACAATGTTCCCTAGATATTATTTCCACGACACATCACTAGTGTCTAGTATTATCACTGAGCGAATAAATACTGTCGCTTAGCGTTCGGTGTTATACCCTACAATTCTTCATTGTTTCCTCGCCTGCTCTGCGTCAGCCACGTTTATTGCATCTCCGCTACTTGTTCATTTGGACGATTGTCATGAAACCCTGATGCGAAACGCTAGGAGCTGATTGGCACATGCCGTGTTAGTGAACGATGACCGTGCGATTTGACACCCGTGTGCTTCGAACTAAACAGAATCGCCAAGCCACGATGAATTATCCTATTAGATTCTACTTTATACTGATCCTCATCATTTAGTTGGTTCGGTCGCAGCGACGCGACGGATGTCTAATACTTTTCTGGATTTGTGGTAGCTATTTGCGTCTAGCCGCCATGAACCTTGTCAACTTCAACCTTACTCATTCTGTGCTTTAACATACTTGGGCAACACCTTCCAGGCGTCAGTGGTCAAACACGGTCTCTTAATCTCCTCAGCATGTGGCGACCAGATAGCTGGTTCATAATGTAATACTGGTCGTACCACAGCGTTGTAGACTTTCTCCCTTCGCCAACATACACGTCACTGTACAGCGAAGGTTTTGGAAAACCACCAGTCCTCTGTCAGATGTGCCATGGTTCCTTCGGTGTTTGGGTAAGATAACCTTGTATCAGGTCTGCTCAGTATTGTAGCAGTATTTTTGAAACTGCATATCACGCGCTAAAGTGTGCAGAAGTGCGCGCCGGTGTATTCGACAGCCGAGTCTGATTCAAAGAACTAATCGTCTGCGTTTGCTAGCTGCCCATCCAGCCGAATCGCTATCCCAGGAAAAATAGAAATGGACAGGAGAAAATCATTCGTAAACATTCCGATCGATGCCAAATGATCAAGCGACAGTTGTACAGCCTTGATGCACTGCGCTTGTCTTAGTGTTCTCAAGGGATAATTCTCGTATGCAGGCGCATGTTTCCGGCAGTCTTAATAATTGAATTTTAGGATCGAAACAATCCGGCTACCACGCCATTCATGGTTAAACATGGGTACAAGTGGTACAGGAAAAATTTACCGTATCAGCCTATACTTTTGCTGATGTATGATCACTTGCCGGGGTGGAAACTAACCAATAGTTCACAGATCCGACTCTCGAGGATCATTGGGTCACTGCAGCGTGTCACACGTGAGTTACACTGGAGATGAGACTGATACTCTTATAATTTTCACAGGAGGTCCATTGATCACTACTAGAAATAGGGATGATGACCTTTAATCACCGGTCATGGGGCATTTCTTCCTTGTGTCAAATGATTTCGTGCAGAACAGCAAAACAGTCACCAATGGGTCATCATCACCCTTCGTCAATGTCGGTGGCGAATCATCGGAGTCAGGCGCTAGACACCAGTTCGTACCATATTCTTTTGACATTGCGTTGATACATCAACGTTCCAGGTGGAATCATGAGCTACCTGACCATCCTGATGCAGCTAGCCAGCAGAATAGCACTCCAAGGTTTTTACCCCACGTGACTTGGGGCGAATCAGTCATTTTCTCGCTCATATGACTTTCTTTGACGGGTGCGTCGGTTGAGAAAAAAAATAATCTGATTTTCTAACCGGCTCAGATCGTCTCCATATTAACATTCGGATTGTGTATCTTTGAATCCATTACTGTCTACATTTACCCCTTGTTTTTGACTCTTAGATTTTCGATCCGGGTATTTTGTTCTTGTTTATCCCTGTTGAATTTCGATTCCTGATTCCAACGTTTGCTGTTAAATGATCATCATCATCATCATTACACGTTAGCTGGAGGTGGAATACACCTCAGCTATTGTGCCGCAACACAAAATAAAAGAAAAGGAAAAACAGTGGCACGCCCGCTGAGTCCCCAGTAACGGATGGACATCGTTCCGGAGAGCTAACAGCAAGCTGCCGTAAAAAGAGAATCATATTATGCCTAACAGATGAGACCGTGATTGGAGGGGGATACTAAACAGGAGGGGGATGGGCAAAGGAAATCACAACACAAACGCCATTGGTGCCGGCTCCGTGCCATATCAGCAAGTGTGTCCAACCAAACGTGTTCACCATCCTTAGGACCCCAGCCAGGCAGTCGGGATGCACCAACCGACGCCAACTTCGAAGTGAGGGTTTTCATTTCTCTCGACCAAGTCATCACTTGGCCTCCCCTCCTCCTCTTCCAACCGCACCCACAACGCGCAAACAATGCACGTCGCGGGAGTCGGTGTGCTGGCACGCGCACTGTTAAATGATCCTAACAAATGTCGTAGAATGCTTTGTTGGGAATAATCCAACCTAATGCCTTTCCACTCTTTCATCTCTTCCCAAATTTTGACTTTTGTAACTTGTTGCCGTGAGCCAAAGCAACTTGATCCACCGGATGCTGTGTAAGTGCACCAAAACGATGCCTTGAACCATACTCGTTCGTGGTATCTTTAACTGATCAGGCACTGCGCGTACTCATGCGGCCTTGCACGAAATCCTTTTTCACGCGCTTACCTTGTTGAAGGGCATCGTCTCTTGCTGAACTACGTGCGACATACAAGTAGTATGGTTGTCTGTTATAAATAGTGAAGAAAAGCGGTAAAATACGAGATGAACGGCCAGTTGGGAAGATGATTACAATTTTCGCTTCTAGATGTTGTTTTCCAGCATTGGGATATGTTACGTTCCAGTGAAATACATGAGGGTGCGAATAAGCTAACTGACACATCACATCGACGCAAATGACTGAAGGATTATGTGCCCTCGAACTCTGAGCCTCTGATGAATCCACTTCAGTGCTTACTGCGCACACGTCGTTTCATTATCTGGCTTGCTTGAACGTACATCTTCGGGGCTATTTATCTGCTCAGACCGATTTCTTGGCCCACCAGTTTAAAATCATTAGTTATTTGCGATTGGGTGGTGTTTTACGGTTGACTGGTGGTATGTTCATCGTTCCAGCTTCCTGTCTCCTTTTTTTCTTCAGTTTTTCTCATTACGCACCACATCTAATAGCAGGTGCTCGCTATCGCTGCTCACTCGGGTAACATTGTGCCTGCAGATTACTCCAACTACTAGACCTCGCATCATTTTCATTAATATTCTCACGGTACTCATGTTGCCGATGTGCTCTTTTGCTTTCCTCTCTCGCAGGATTACTCGTATTCTAGGCACATGTTGGTCTCCTAAAGTTTCTCGCATGCGACTGTTGGCCGGTACCATTTGGTTGGCTTCCATTGGCTCTGACACATCCTCATCTGGTCCTCTGCGTGTGAAATCTGTTGAAGCATATTTGAAGACTGAGCTGTACGTCTTCCATCTCATCTATGTTTTTTTCGCTACATTAATATCAATCTTTTTGGGATTAGTCAAAACCATTCGCCTGTAGCACATTATCTTCATACAAAATAGATATTCATAATTTCGCGGCTTTCGAAATGCCTACTCGGGTTATCACTCTTCTGAACTTTTTCTAACTGATAGCCTCCATTTTTTAAAATAATAATGCCAACTTCATCCTAATCCACATTTATATCGATTTACATTGCCCCGTTTCGTATTCTGGACCCAATATAACACTGAAGGTAATGGCGGATTTTTGTGGACTGCTGGCATCGCAGTGAGATGGGCGCATCGCAACGAGGTGCAATGATTCGCGTGACTCAAGGATACATTGTGCTATGCTGGGCGTCTCATTTTGCACTCTCAGCATCACACACAAGTTAGTGGCCAGACATACTCAATCTTCTGGCTCTCCAGTTTGGATATCGGAGTAAGGGTGACTCTTTACTCCTTAAAACTGACTACCCTTAGTTCATTCTCAAAACCCCTCTGCCTTGCGGTCAGGTGTTTTGAGTCAGTGGCTTACGTTGGGAACCCTAATCGTTCTCCTGCCTAGGCCTGCACAGCATGATAGTATCCTGCCCACGCATTGCAATGAACCTTTCCTCAGACAATTTCTTGATGCTCTGACTATCGCAGACGATAATCTATGGAACCCTATCTGTTGCTTCGAGCCGTGTGGGCAGGGAAGAGAATGCTGCTGAGATCTTCCTGTCTTCTTACTCTCTCTTGCGCTTTTTCTTCCTTATCGTCCCATTCCAACTTTGCTTTTATCATCCTGCTTTCAGTCACCTAATTCTTGGCCTTCTAGTTTCAACTCACGCAATCCCAGGATGTCGCTCCGGTCCAGTCGACAAGTCCTCCATGTTCAACCAAGCTGATAACATCAGTTCATTTGCTTCTCATTGGGCCCCTAGATCCTCCCTAAGAATGGTATGCCTCACAGTGCGCGCACTTTGTTACAGATTGCCAAACAGGTAGCATTTGCCCGAACACTAGAGACGTTTGCCTATGCACTCACATGTATGCAAATGCGTTCGCACACTCCCCATTTGCTGGCCGGTCTGTAGCCTTAAAAGTAACAAGCTTTCTTGTAATTTGACAGCGCGGGTTCGAGTCTGCGCATGGGCTGGGCTACCCTCGCCGTATCCTTAGCCTACGTGGGACCGGTAGTGGTTGCGCGACAGCAAAATGTCGGTGCTGCGTACCGGCGTACTGCTGAAGCCTTCCTTTCTTTCTTCTCGAACGACATCTGCTGTTTATCAGGAATCCCGCCTGCAAGATTCGGGTTCTTTGTTTACCTTACGGTCCCATTCCTCTGATGCTGGCGGTATTTTCTCACTGCGTTTGTGTGGAGATGATGTGATATCAGCCTGATCAGTTTGAGTATTTCTCTGAGCCAGGCGGGAGCTACTCTAATCCACTGGTTCCGGATGTGCGCTGTCAAATTGGCTGACTCATCATCATCAACAATACACGTTATCTGAGGGTGAGAAACATATCTCAGCTAATGTGTCACAATGTAGAAAAATAAAATGTGCGAAAAAGCAAGCTCCCGGACATCATAGAGTGTCAAATAACTGTCAACATAATATGAGTCTGAGGATAGATCATGCTTGGAGTGAGAGGATGAGCAGGATGGGGAGGGACAAAGAAACTCACAACACAAACACCTTTGGGGATGGCTCTTCACCATGTCAACTAGTGTGTCCAACCAAACGTGTTCATCGTCCTTAGGACCCCAGCCTGGCAGTCGGGATGCACCAACCGACGTCCACTTCGAAATGAGGGACTTCATTCCTCTTGACTACGTCATTACTTGGCCTCCTCTCCTTCCATTGACACCACAGTGGCGCGAATACCGCACGATGCGGGAGTCGGTGTGTTGGCATCACAACACGTGGCCCAGCCATCGCGATCTGAGCGGTTCACTCGCTTTTCCTACACCAAATACGTGACATCGAACATGGTCATTGCTCACGCTTTGTTTCTACCAGACATGAGCTATGCTGCGAAGGCAGCGATGGTCAAACGTAACAAGCCTCTTCAAGTCTGTCGACTTGATGGGCTAGGTTTCGCAACCGTACACGAGGGTTGAACGAACGGCTGCTTTGTAAACTCTACCCTTCGGAGCGAGAGTGATGTCACACCGGCGCCACAAGTGGCGGATATTGGCAGAACCCCCTCGAGCTTTTGCTATGCGGTTCGTGACCTCATCTTCAATTTTCTGGGCGCTAATATAGATGCCGAGGTTCTTTAATTTCTAGACGAATTCTAGCTGGTCGCCACTAATGGTTAGCGCAGTGTGGGTCGATGTCAATCCTTGAGTACTTTGCGTTTCGACGGTGCAAACCGTAGTCCGAAACGACTGGCAGCCAGAGTTAATCTGTCTGGTGCTGTCTAGAACTGTCACATAAAGGTGATGTCATTGGCATACTCAAAGACAAGAAGTCCCTCACTTGGAAGCAGCTTCACACATTGTAGGTCTTATCCTGCGAACGTCGTTTCCATGACTTCGTCAATGTTAGGGAGGAAGACCGACATGCTCACGCTGGAGTTGAAGGGGCGACAGTTTACCATAAATCCTCACCCCTCCAGAACTGTACGCTTACAGCGCTCTTATGACATTTACTTATTTAGCGGGCACACCTTTCCTGAGCAGTCATTCATATAAGGCATATCAATCTATGAAATCGAATTCACCTTTGATGTTGAGGTTCACGTCCATGGTAAGTCACTAATAAATATGGCGGTTTTTCACAAATTGACGTAATATGAGGATGTGGTCGATGCAGCTTCGATTTGGAGGAGACCCGGCTTCTCGCGCATCTGGCTTTCACGTGTGCCAGTCACTCTATGGAGGACGATAGAGGCAGGTAACTTAGAGGCTACTGAGACCATGCTGTTTTTCCTCAAATTATCACATTCCGAACAGGAGTATTCCTTGAAAATAGATACTATAACGGAGGAACTTGTCTGTCAGGACAGTCATTTGTTTCCATAGGTTCCCTTGTAATTTAGGCAAATGATCCATAATAGCAGGCCCCGCGAATTCGGAGAAGGCTGTACGAAGTTCATCTGCTCTCACGGTTTTTTCCAATTTCAAAAGTCTGATCTCACATTTGAATTCTGCGCTTGAGCTTAGATCCAAGGGGACGGTGCACGTGGAAGCGCGATCAGTGACCGATGGAGAAGCTGGTAACTGTGGTTAATGAGACCACCAGGCTTCGCGATCTCACTTCAGACCAACACAGTTTCGCCCTGATATTTTTGAGAGTCTTGTGTTCGCTCTCAGTCGGAACACGGCGAGCATACAGTAGTCGTCTTAACAGCTTATATTCCAGATCTATTAATGGTCGTACTCACTTAACATGCTTAAAATGTGATGTGCGTTTACAGATCAACTAGGCACTTGATAGCCCCTTGATTCGTGACTGGAGGTTGTGCACCAATTCCCCCATTTTTGTGGTTCCTTTAGCAGTGATGAGTGTGTAGTTCTT